TGAATGTCCATTTTGTATCTGTGTATTCAAAATGCTTAGGATAGATATATGGTTACATTCTCTTAACAAATAGAGGATTTGTTGTAATAGTGTTTGTAAATAGAATATAATGTCTGCATCTTGTACAGCAAATAATCACTAGGAAGAGAGTATGCAATGTGGTAATTATTGAACCTGTCATACCAATTTGATTTGAAACTGTCTCATTTCTATTTGTCTGTTTAAAATTATGGGGAAAAAATCAACCAATAACAAATGCTGGAGGAACTGTTGGGAAAAAGTAACCCTTCTCCGCTATAGGTGGGAGAAGAGACTGGTGCAATCACTGTGAAAATCAGAATGTAGATTCCTTAAAAAACTAGGTCTAGAGGTCTCACTCTACCCAGCTACTCCCCCCCTGGGTATCTTCCCAGAAGAACTGAAAACACCATGCCACAGCAATATATGTGCAAACATGTTTATAGCAGCACAATTTGTCATAGCTAAATATTGGAATAACCCAGATGCCCATCATCTGAGGAATGGATAAAAGAAAAAGTTGGGTTTTTTAAAATATATATACAATGGAGTACTACTCAGTCACAAAGAAAGATAAACTAGAGACTTTTATTAGTAATAGATGCCAGTAGAGGCTATCCTCATAAGTGAAATAAGCCAGATCCATGTGTATAAACACCATATTGTCTCACTTGTTAACTGGGAAGAAACTGTTCAAAAGACTATGATCAAGGAAAGGAAGAAAGGGAAAAAGAAAAAATATATGTATAGACAAGATAGTTAAGATAGCTATATAGCTAGTTTCTTTTTGTTCATTGAGAAGAAAGTTTTATGTTCATATTGTTTGGACAAGATACATGTCTGTATCTTGTACTCTGAATAACTATGAAGATAGTATGAAATGTATTGTAACTCTCATATCAACCTGTTTTGAAATTCCATTTTATTGCTTCATTTAAAAAAAATTAAACTTTTAAAAATTTATTTTATGTATATTATTTTATACATTGCTTTTTTATTCATTTTAATGATTAAAAAGATAAAACAGCAGTAAAAGCTTCAAAACAGGTTAGTAGGACAGTTACAATAATTAATATATTGTATATTGTTGTATTTATAGTAATTATTCAGAAGACAAGATGTACACATGATACTTTGTCTACACAATACTAGTACAGACCTTTCTTCTCAATGAACTAAGAGAAAGTAGCTGTATATCTATTTTAACTATCTTTAGTGTGTGTGTGTGTATATATATATTTTTTTTTTCACAACAAAATGGTATTTTATTTATATTTTTGCAAAGTTAGTAACATGTGAAACAGGTTTCCTAGGGACAAATAGCTGACTTTAACCAGACAGGATTTTTATCTCAGGACTGAGATAGCTTGTTTGCTTTAGGTACTGAAGTCTAGTCCCGTCTACATACAGTTGATCAATTTCCCAGCTTCCACGGTTCCCAACATACCCACCTTTTTGTTCTGTTTTGTCAGAGATGGGTGTTCCATTGTGGTTAGAGAAGCCGTACCTGGAGAAGTCTCCAAAGGACCCCCTCATACTTGATGCCAGTCCAAAGATTGTAGGAACTTGAATTCAGCAAAATAACCCAATATAGTCCAATAGTCCATAATAGTAGTTAGCTATCAGCACATCTGGTAATTGTCAGAAGTTATTGACTTAAGCCTTTTACAGTTCAGCATATTAATACAGCTTTACGTTTTATACCTTGTGGTTACATTTTTCTGTTGTATGGTTAAGACCAAGTTAAAGCAAGACCTATATATAAAAATGTAACCTTTGCTATTTGACAAGGTCAGTCAAATCCCCTCAGGATTTACCCTGAAACCATGTACAGCACCTTGCAGATCTTTTGTGAATGTCAGCCATCTGGATGAGTCATGGCCCTTGCCTGACCAATTTGCTCTCTGTGAAAGCCTGAGAGAATTTTCTCTCTAGATGACACTCCTTAAGGACACTATACATCGTCGATCACTTTCCTATGTGTTCCCACAATCTCCTTGATTTGGGACACCATTTAGTTACAGGATGTCACAGAGGTTCTCTTAAGTCCTGATTCCTTACTGACCTTGGAGGGCTAGGGCCAAAACATTGGTTATCCTTTTAGCCCATCTATCTCTCTAATTTTTGGTCTGCAACTTTAGTTGTTAACCATCCAGAAGAGAAGCTTAATGATACTACCCTGTAACAGAGGCAGTTAAGCTTAACATCACTATCTGTCTGAATATCAAACACCTTAGACATAAAATGGAACTGCTATTTTCCAACAACCATGGATATTCTATTTAAACCCCTATAGAAAGTTAAAAAACAATTACATCTTTTTACACAGAAAAAATTAAACTCTTGATACCATTGAAAACTTCATTAGTCATTTCTTATATACAACTTCATTTTAAATGCATCTACTTCTAGAAGAGGATTTACTCCTGATGTCAATGTTTTATTGCCCTCAAAGACTTAAACTCATTCCCTTATCCTCTTGTACCTCCATACTGCAAATAGCCCAGCTACACTGAATTTGCAAATTTGTGACAGTCCTTTTTGGTAGACATTATTCCCTCCTTTTGGAATGCTTTGTTCTTGCTGTTTCCTCATTGGGGATGCTCTACTTCCTTCAAGAGCTCGCATGTCACTTCAACAGGGATCCACACCTTGACCTCCCCTGACAAAGCTTAGCACTTAATTTCTGTCTCACGACAGGCACCGTGTGCATCGTCTGAAAAGGTGAAATGAGCAACTGTTCACCCAGTAAACATATGAGCACCTGCTTTGGGCGGGCATTACACAGGTACAAATGCTAATGAACATAACATAGTTCCACTCTCACAGATCCTACTACCTAGCTGTACACATGAACACTTACTGCAATAACTGTTTAAAGGAAGGCAAGAAGTACCAGGGGCTATATAGATAGATAAAAAGGGAATTCCTACTGATCTGGGATCAGCAAGCGAAGTATAGGTACAAAGGCCATAGGACAGCAAAATGTGTAAGAGACAGAAAGCTCAGAAATATGGCTGGAACTAATGCAGGAGCTATTCTCTTTAAAATTAATTCTCCTCCATTCCCAGTCTCCTTCCCCTTCTTTTGGTCAAGATAATTTTTAAAAAATCATTAGCCTTTTTCTTTTAGCATAACATGTAATTTATTATTTATACCATCTGCCTCTTCCAAGTAGGATTCTGGTTCACATGTAGTCTCAATATCTACAATAGTGGCTTAAAGAGCTTAATGTTATTTGTTGAACAAACAGTTAAGTGCTAAGTTTGGTGTTCATGTAAAGCCTACAGAAAACCATTAAAGAATGTTTAGCTGAGTGGAAGATCATTTTTCCAGCTGTCACCTACTACTTTCGGCACATTGTTTGTGCTCTCTGACATTCACTTTGTACGTTCAATAATACCAGCATCAATACCTAAAAAGAACACTGTTCAGTACTAAACTGACATATGCATGATACTTTCAGAGTGACTGACAGTAAGGTGCAATAAATGTTCACTTTCCCTATAATGTTAATTTATTAGTAATATGCTTACCCAAAGATATCCCTGAGGACTTGAACCATATTTATCAACACTGTGTACCTAGCACCATGGGTGATAACTAAGACGTAATCATGTAAGCTCTAAAACTGGCTTTATGAAAAGACATGAATTTTCAGTTGTGACTTCAATAAGCTGAAGCTATCAGGTTCTATTTGGAATCTGTTTCAATCTACTATACTTATTCAATCCTAGAGAGTAGTAAGAAGTAAAAAGGAGAAAAAGCATATACAACAAAAACTATTTTAAGTTCCTTGACATTAGTGTTTTATCCATTTTTATTACAGACAGAACTATACAAGATAGGCATTCAGCAAAACTTAGTAATTATATGAACTGGAATTTCTTTAACCACTTGCAAAGGTACACAGCATGGAGTGCCTCCTCACACTGCTTACCTGACTGCAATCGTAAGTGAGCTTCAATGTTTTGCAGTCGTTCTTCAACAGCCTGATTCCCGCAGTCTCGAAGCATGCTGTTAGATTTATGACCCGACCCTTGAATTCCTTCAGGTCTAGTTTGTGGTCCATATGTATTCACAACTCTAGAAACTAAATTAAGAAACTTATAGGCCAAAGAAATTTACTTTTAAAAACAGAAAAATTTTCCCCAACAGCACTTCATAATCTTTTTTTTTTTTTTTTTTTTCAGATCCAGGGATTGAATCCAGACCCTTATTCCACTAAGCCATCTCCCCGGCCCCTATAATCTTTCCATAAAGATAGCTATTCACAATCCAAGGATGAGAAAGGCAATATTTTTGTTGTTATGGCTTTTTTCTAGATGTCCCCCTAAAGCCTCGCATAGTCACAGGGGAGGCTTTTTGGAGGAGTGGATGGATGGATCTAGTGTATGATGCTGGGATTAAGGATATGATACTGGGATTGACTCATGATGTGATGATGCTAGGATTATGGGTGGCCCACCCTGGGTGAGAGTGCTTCCCACCCTAAAAGTGAATAGCCTGGATAAAAAATAAGGGACAGAAAGAGGCTTGCTGTGGTCACTTATTTGCTGCTTCTGCTGCCTTCTGCCTGCCATGAACAATTTCTCCTCTCTCCCTGTGATGGCCCTTGCCATGCCACCCTGTGGTGGAGACAGCTGATGAAGGACTGAAACTTGCACAAACTGTGAGCCACAATAAACTTTGACTCCTCTATCTTTGGGTATGGAGTATTTTGCCTCAGCACTGAGAAAAAGTAAGACAGCTTTAAAATAAATAAAATTTGGATGGGCAAACTATTTCTTCATCTTTTAAATAATCTAGCATATACTTGTCAGTGACAATATGTGTTTACTCACCCTTTACATGACTTTTAAATCCAGGGTAAGGTGTAAAAACAGCATCAGTTCTTGCACAACTATTTTCTAAGGATAATTCAGATAAATATAAGTTTTAATATATTTTAAATTTCAAACACTGAAGATTTTGATAAACTAATGACTCATATTAACACATTACTTATAAGTGAATATAATTTTAAATAATAGTAATAAATTGCCATTGCATATAGAACTGAGTGACATTTATTTTCTAAAATGAATCAGAACACCTAATATTTTACCTAATGTTCAGATTTATATTAGGAGAAGCTATGAAATATCATAACTACAATTTTTAATAAAAAAATACCTCACAAGTATTTGGGCCTTTGGAGAAAATAATTTATGTATTATAGAGTACCATATTTTATTTCTCCTTCACAAGAATAGAACTCAGTTTTAGTAACACATTCTTTTATTAAAAATCTATCCATCATCCACTGGCCAAATTAGCAAACATCTAATAAAAAATGGATTGATTATATATTTAAACCTTTAATTTCAGAAATCTACACAAAAGATCCTGAAACCTCAGCTATAATAGTACTTTCCCACTCCACCTAGATTTTAATACTCACGTAACACCTGCCCGCAGCTTGCCCCCTAGGTGGTACACGCATCACTGTTGCTTCAGATGGCTTATAACACTGGCAGCATAAACCCAATCACTTTTATTAGTGTTTTACTAATAAAATTAATGAGAAGCTATCTGATGGGACAGTTGTGCGCTTACCACTGGTACTTCAGCCACCTGGCAGTGAGATATATGAATTATGGCCCTGTCATGAACATGTAAAACCTAATCACAAAAGTCTTCCACTTCTATTCTTCCATTTCTAAAACCTGCAAATTTAGGATCAGTATGCTGTGAAAATTTGTTCCAATTTTTTTCCAAGATGAAAATACAATTTCTTTCAAATTAAAAATCAATAAATAAATTATATATAGAGAAAACTGGGATGCTGTTAATACCTAACACTATTAATATTTTATATATTGAAAGTTGTTACCTATTAATATATGTAACATATTACTATATATGCTGCTACACAGTAAAAATGTGTACTGTTTGAGATAACAGTAAAACTACATATTGGCAGTAAATTTTCTACAAAACTTCCTTAAATATTTTGTAAAAAATTGAGGATAAATGAAATACGGAAAGAAAATTCTTTTTTTTTCCTCCGTATAATTTTATTTTAAAAATAAATCTCAATCATTTATTTAGGTCAAATTGAGAAGTATTAAAAGGAACACATTAAAATGTATTTTTGAGTTGAAGTTTCATTAACAGTTCTGCTGATAAATCAAATTTTCTGAATAAAATTCCATATCCACTCATCTTTTAGATTCAGAGATTTAAACAGTCACTTTCTTTTTGGGCGGAGACACCTCCAAGCATGCTTAAAGGGTGATTACTTCTCCATTCTTTTTCTACCACTTCATGAAGCTAAGGGTTAAAAAAAGAAGCTATCATCCATTTCAGAGCTACATTCCAAATATACAGATTAACTGACCCATCAGTGAGAATTCAGCATGGTGCGAAGACAGTGAATGTCTGAGTGCTAGTCACTCTCCACATCAATTCTTGCCAGCACTGTTTTGAGCCAGCAAGGGAGTGAATAGGCCAAGGAATCCCGCTGAGCATTTCAATTCTTGTCAATTTCTATCCCTGGTGGTTTATAATAATAGAGTTAGCAGGGAGAACAGAGGAATAACATTAGTGACACATGTGCCTGCTCCCTCAACAAACCTTCTTTCATGGGTTGCTTGCAGGTGGATTGTGCTACCTGAGATTTTCCCCCTGTTGTATCTTAGCTTTTGAAAAGCTAAGAGGAAAATATACCAAATGACAAAGTGAGTAAAATGTTAATAGTAGAAAAAGTTGACCTTAGGACCAAACCTGAGCTTATACTGTTTCATTAAGAGAATCAGTAGATCTACATGATATGAGTCACTGTTATGTTCATCTGACAATTCTTGTTCATAATAATTAGCCAAGAGATACTAGAGGCAACAAGAAAAATGTTCCTTCTAATTATGAACTCTTCTCCATAATTTTTCCTAAGAACTACTTGCTCTGATTATTACTAGGATGCTTGAATATGATCTATGGCAGAGTTATGCAACGCTGTGTGTTCTGCAGCATACCTGCAGATCTGTAAGCGTACTATAGCATCAAGTGAAGAGGAAAGGTGAATCTGATGAAAAACAGCAAATGTAAGCACTAAGAGAGAAAGGAAAAGAGCATAAGGCACCATGGTCTTCATGATAAATGGCCACAGAGTGACATAAAACATTTCACACAAGTCAGGAGTAATGAGAAAACTGCTCCCTCTTGAGGAATACTGTTAACTTTACCAAGTTCACTTGCTGTCTTAACATAATTTACAAACTTGAAACTCACATTGCTTAGTGTCTTCATAATAGCGAGATGGAACAATCCTGCCACCCAACACATTTCACTTTCATTTCCTAAAGGAACTTTAAAGTAATCTTCTCAAACCTGTGGTGAACATTAGTCTTTTAACAATGCCATTTGATTTTTACATAACCAAAGTGGAAAATATGTTTTGCAATAGTCTAATATTAAACAGAAGGAAATTCTGCTTAGTTACTAAAAACCTGTAAAATAAACTGAAATGTGTTATTCATTTTTTTAAAAAGGAAAAAGCACAACTATAAAATTGTGCTTAAATTCCTATGAAAATTAACTGCTAGTTTACCTTGATTACAATCAATAACATTGCAAAATTCCCTGACGTTGTTTTCATTGATTTCAGCTTGCTTTCTTTCAATAAATGCAGATATTCTTCTGTCAATCTACAAACAAGTATATTTTAACAATGTAAACACAGCAAGACTTTGAAAAATAATGTAGTCTCCCTTTTGCCCCCCAAAACTTCTTACTTCTGCTTTTCCAGCCTTTATTTGAACTACTTCTGGATCAAAATGGATTTGTGTCTTTTTCACATCTCCTAAATCACAGTCTTTGTGCTTTTCTTCCTCTTGTTGATCACCACTAGGAAATTTGGCATTTATTTCATTCTGGGTCCCTGCTTCTGTTTTTTCTTTCTCTTCAACAGCAGCTGAGTTCTCCTCTTTAATCACAGGCTGAAGTTTTGCTAAAAAAGGCTGAGAAGAATACAATTCCATCTGCTAGGGTTCAAACTAACCAAAATTAGTTATACATTTAATGTATTTCTATAAACAAATGAAATATTTAACATCAGTTACTAACTACAAAAAGTTGATACATGGGATAGGTTTGACCACACATAAATGTCTGTTTTCTGCTAATGTAACCATTAACCATTGCTATAAATTTTTTTTAATAAGCAAAAGACTACCTGAAGAAATTTAAAATTGTCTTTGAGGAAATCATTCTGTCACTCATCTTTTATTTTATGCCAAATCAAAACCTTAAGCCCCTGGCACCAATGCCACTTAATTAACATGTCATTCAGATGCCTCCTCAGAACACTGAGGCTTAGCATTTTCCCTGCTTTACAGAAGAGCCAGATTCTCCCTCAGCAAAGCCCTGCGTTATCACTATAGCACTGGAGATGCTCCACTTGAAACCATAGTTGGCCAAAAGGAACGTGAGAGCATGGACATGACATGTAAGATATCAGGCTGAGTGAACACTCAGGCTCCTCCTGACATAACAAGCTATCTTTTAGGGTCATAAAATAAAATTTTACTAAAGAAAATGAACAAGAAAAAAAACTAGCAAGATCCTTGCTGAAAACAGATGTCTATCACTAAGCTAGAGGGGAGAAAGCCTTGCTGTAGAATGTACATTATATTATCTGCTTACTTCTCCCACCCTGCTCCCCTGCCACAATTAGGTCTCATTTGAGAGCTACAGCTCATTGCTCTGCCCTTTAAAAGTAGGGTTAACTACTACTTTTAAAATGAAACACAGAGTTATATTTTCCTACAAAGTCACTGAATAGAGAGGGCTGAAAATTAATGCCTACTCCATTAGTCAAAACACACCAACACTTAACCAATATTCTAATTACTTTTTTCATAGCTACAATTTTGCTTCCATTGTTTGATATACCAAATACTACTCTTCTGAAACCTTGTTAACACCTTAATCATAGTAAAGTGACCAATCTAAACAGGTCTACTTATCTATTTGACACTTCATATTTTATATGTTAATTAGAGATAAACTGCAATATACATCAATTATAATTGTAGAGATGTTCAATTAGAAACCAGTCAGGTCACAATACTGTTCAGTTATTGAAATAAAATATTAAAAAAAAAATAACAATACTATTCTAAAAAAAATCAATATTGATTTCTAATACCAAAGCTGAATTTTTCAAACTGTTAAGAAAAGATAAAATAGTGACTGGCTACTTACTAAGATGAGACATTAATGTCACAGAAATTACTTTCTTTTTAAAAACTATGCTGAAACTGTTTAATTGCAATAGACACTCCAGGATGTGTCATGCTGGGATAATGCCACTTCTTGAACCACTGAAAGCACTCCATGAGCCTCCAAACTCACCCAAGGCATGGAATCATTATCATAGCATGACACACACCTGCCGTGTCTTATTGCTTAATTATAACCCACCATAGATGGAACTGTATTGAATTTTCAGTGCAAGTCTAGAATTGAATAGAATTGTACTCATTCAATCTCTTACCCACATCGGCTTATTGGGCTATATTCCTGTAACTGTCCTGATCACCACTAAATTAACAGATTTAGATCCAAGCTGGATATAAGTAACCTTTTATAGATAACACTATTAATACAATGCTAAGATAGAACTGACAAATATGCACATAGCTAATTTAACTACAATTAATTTCTGTCTGTGATATCAAGTTAAACTGCTAAGAAATTTACCTGTAAATATAAAATGTGTTGCTCAAGTGCTCTAAAGAGCAATGCAGGCTGGAATGCCGAGAGGCTCTGGAGCTTGTCCCAATCGATTGTAATTTTCACCACATCATCTTTGAGGTTAAGCTTCAAAGGAGCAAACCAGCAACATCACAAAAATTACACGATTAAGCTGTACATCTGGGACTGTCACAAAATAAGATTTCTATGGAGTAACACATGCTTATCAAAATTATCATGTTTTTAATGATATATTAAAATGCTCTGCCTAGTTACCATTTTAAAAGGCCAGGAAGACCCAACATTTCATAAAAAACAAAATGACATCTCAAAGTTAATGAATTCTTAAGTCTGCGTAATGGAACAATCTTAGAGGTGAAACTATGAAAGATTAAAAAATATCTAAATATCTTTGGATAAGACCCAAAATATGCCTGCCTTATTCATAATGCTACCACTTCCAGCTCAGGCATTAAACAGAGAAGGTACCACGGTTCTAGGAAAGTTCAAGCCTGTAAATTTCTCTTCATTAAATATGTACACAAATACATATCTGAAATATATCATGATACATTATGATTCTGGTATCTTTTAATATTTCATTGTTTTCAACTTTAACCATTTTAAGAAATAATTTAAACATTTCAGTTATTCATTCATACAAAATCCAGGAATAAGTACAAAATAAAAAAATTATTATAATTATAAGTACAAATAAAATTATAATTATTATAAGTACAAATAAAAATTAGTCATGGAAGTGGGAAACTGAAAAAGAACTCCATTCTGGAACAGTCTGGCAGAAAGGGGATGGAATGTCCAGTGTTTTTGCAAATGGTATTTTCTAGTAAGCTATGAGGTTTCATTACACTCATCTTCCTTATCAGTTGGTGATCTAGCAGAACAAAATCATATCCAGGAAACTAAGAACCTGAATATAAAATTAATATCAAAATCAATGAACAGTGAGAGCGCCCATCTGCAGTAACTCAGTAAAAGTGAACCCTCACAAACATTTCTAGTGATGTGATTACAGCATAGTAGAAAGATAATACTAATAAAGGAATGAATTGTTATATTTCCTAGAAATAATTTACTAAAAATGAGTCACATGTTCTAAAAAATAAAAGACACGTGGTATGAGTTCAAATACAGATTTCACTAGTTACAGTGATAATAAAACAAAAATATGAACCACTGTACATAGAATCAAAGTAATCTCATTACAACAGGCAACATATTAAAAAAACACTATGTGACAGAAATTTACTGCCCTTTGAAAGTGAAATCAGAAGCCTTTAAAGTCCATGTCAGACAAGTGTAAAGAAAATGAAATTTTAGGTAGGCCACATAGGTTCATGTTAATACGATTTTACATTAAGAGTAATGTATTTAAGCAACTGATATTACCTTAATGCCTCAAACATATATCATGTATAAAAGTAACCCATTACTATACTTTTACAGTACTCCAAGAAATCTAAAGTCAATTATGGCAAATTTATGAATATAGTCTGGGGAAAAGCAAGTAAACCCTCCAGCAATGAAAGGCAGCATATTTTCCTAGAGGAAACTGCCTACAGAAAATAAATTTTAGTGTCTGGATCATATTCTCATTTCAATTCAGCAGAATTATGTACGCCTTTAAAGATTTTTGGTCTTTTAAGAAGACTACATAAAAGTGTTACAAATTAATTTTAAAATAAACTCGACATATCAAATTATTTGGTCAACAGATTTCCTATAAGTAATATGAACTCTGCATTTTTAACTTATGGATCTTGGAATAGTAAAACATTCACTCAAAAACCTCTTAGTATGCTATTAATTGAAGCTTTGTTTTATTAGAAAGTGATTAATACAAAAGCCATGCTAACACTAAATTAGCTGTGTAAAATGAGCCAGTCAGAAACAAGTAAAAATGTTAAAATTAGCAAATTTTGAAATTTAGAGTACAAAATACTTCTTAACAGTGAAATTTTATGTCTTGTATTGGGGCACTAATACAACAGATATTCCTTTTAAGGAGATCATATTGAAGGGATAATACAATGACACTTAGGACGAACTTAGGCAAATTACTGTACAACATGCCTTTTAGGAACCCTTTATATATGCTATAAATGGAAATACTGACTTTTGGGGGTAATTTTCTAAGTATGTACTCTGGTTTTTATTTCAGTGCATGTCAAAATATAGAGTATTACCCAAATGGTTAGCATTTACTTGATGAAACAATCTTATTTTAATACTTCTATAGATGGTCCCTTCATTGTCACTGTAAAACCACAGGTATTTAAACATTTTTGACAGCTGACATATGTAAAACTCAATCCCTTCTACATTTGTACTTTTAAAATACTACAATGTAAAAATTTTGAGTTAAATTTAGTATGTAAAATATTTTCAAAAAAGCATTTAAATCACAATCATTTTTCAGTGTTAGTTTTATAAACGCCTGTAAATAACAGGTGAGCATAAATATTTTTATCCTGACACTAGAATATGAGTAAGCTTTAAAGTTCTAACTGTCCATACCATAAAAATAATTATTTAACTTTCAAAGGATTTAAAGGTCCGGAATTTTAAGACTGAAACGTTAATTGCGATCAAAAGTTCCCAAGTCTCAAAATAAAATATGTTTTTTAAGTCCTTAGCAAACAACTGAGTTTGAAAGTTGTCTTTTAGGAGATTCTGTTAATAACTACTTCAATACAAAAACGACAACAACAACAAAAATCCCCAAACAAAACCCAAAATAACTGTGAAAAAATTTTCCTAAGGCTTTTAATAATCGTCAGCAATGAGACATATGCTCTATTTTGACACGAACTGAGCATTATCCTTAACACAAACGTCTGCAGTGTCCACTACATGCAGTAGTACCGGCTGCCGAACAAATTAAGAAACAGTCCGTGTATGATATAAAAAGGCGTATTTTTTAAAGCAGGCAAACATTTTTGTTTCTCATTTAAAAACTGCTTTACTACATCACAAAACGAAATAGTGTTTTCATTTAAAAAAACAAAGAGCCCAGTTTAAAAAACTCAATTTCACATTTCTGCAAAAGCGATTTACCACAGTTAAACTAGCTAATTAACAACAGTTCTAATACAATCAGAATCGGCCATGGATAACTCATGCAATTTTACATTAGAGATATTTCACATTAATTCCATTTACTTTTCTTCCCATTTGAAAGGATAACAGACACAATGGCCAGGAGGAACAGAAATAAAACCCAGTGACTCGTAAGAGCAAATCGCTCCAAAAAGGAAAAAAAACGGCGCTTTTGCAAAAGCCTCAGGCCACACTGACCAACCAGTTTATACAAAGTATCGCCGCAGGAAAAAAAGACCCCGAGCCCAGGGAGCCTCCCAAGCGCTGCCGAGAAGCGTGGGCGCGCTCATTCTCCACCAGCGCGCTCCCCTCGGAGCCGGCCTTCTCTCAGGCCACCCGCTCACTACGAGGGAGGACAGCCGCTAGGCAGTCCAGGCAGCAGCCCGTGCCGAGCCGCGCCAGTGCCACCACCCGCACCCCGACCCGAGGACCCTAGGCCCGGGCCCCTCCCCCGGCCGCGGCCAAGCGCGGGCCTCGCCGCTCCCGGGCCAGGCCAGGGCTGCCCCCTACCCCGCCCTCCACCGGAGCGCTCGAGGGAGGCGGGCCGGCCGCTTTCCCGCGCCCCAAGCCCCACTCACCTGTTCAGCCAAGGCGTGCAGGGAGCGGAAGGTTTCGCACAGTACCTCTCGGGAGAGACTGGGGCTGCAGCTCCGCTCTGGGCTCCTGTCATTGCTGTTTGGGAGACTAAGATCCGTGGCAGCAGCCATGACACCTTCGCAGAAGGTCCCTAACGCCGCCGAGGTACAATCACAACCCTACCCCCACCATACTTTCGTCGCTTGGCGATGACGTAACAATCCGGCGTCTCCTTTAGGGCAAGGCTTTAAAGACCCACCTTCTCTGTGTGACGGACAGGCGCGAGCCCCAACCAGGTGCAGCGAGAGCGTGGCGGAGGAAGCGGGTGTTTCTTGACCAAGGCAAGGCTGAGCGTTTCAGTAAGACTGTAGATTGGAGTATGGGTGTGATAAGGGTTAGCAAGCATCACGAAGCCTGTCTTGGCTCTTAGTTGTGTTTGTAAGAGAAAACTTAGAGGATTTGTTAGGATTTGTGTCTCAAATTAAAAGTTGAAATTTTAACCTGGCATCTTGCTGGTCAAGAATGGAGCAGTGCCCACACTTCCTCAATACTGGAAAACTCACGCAGAATTGTCTTAATGGGATAGACTGTTCACATCCTTACAAAGTTGTTTGGCATACATCAGTGTTCATTTTTCGTGGGAAGACGGAGGATCTAAACAAAATAAAGATGCTGTATTATGACCCATTTTACCCGCAAGGAAATGATATAAATGGCTTTACTTAATACTCAGAATAGTTGAGGTCGGCTTTCAAAGGTTAAAGGTGCCAAATCCTAAAATTGATTCAAAGTGAAACAATACCACTATGAATTCAACTCCTGTTGGATTTCATGTTTCCACAATCCTTGCAATTAAAAGAGTAAATTTGACAATGTATATTTTCTATATACGTATTTAAAGAATTTTATAACCTTTTAGTCAGATTCTTAAACAGTTAAAACAGTTCTAGAACAATTTTAATTTTTTTAATTTATGTTATTTTTTGTTGGATAAAGGGTCTCGCTATGTAGCTCAGGTACTTAATGATCCTCTTGACTCAGGGTCCCCAGTGCTGGGATTGCAGGTGTGCGCCACCACGCCCAGATTTGGTGGCCTGCTCAGCAGGCCCCAGGGTCAGGACCAGCGCCGCATGTGGTGCGGGGGATCAAACCCTGGTCTCTGTGCTTGCCTAAGCAGGCACTTAATATAGGGATCACCAGGCTTGACTAGATCTTGAGAAATCTTGTCTGTTCCCTTGTTAGCAGCAAAATTCAAGTAGATAGCTGTGAGTACAGTCCAGAGATGCGTATTTCACAATCCCAAGTTGAGCAACCATCTAATTCAAGCTGTTCATCCTCACGGTTAATGTAAATTCACAACTCCTTTCAATTTTAGCATATTTTCTTTGTCTCTATTTCTCTTATCATTGGAAGATAATTGTTATGTGTTAGCTAAAAGTTTTGCTTCTATATTAAATTAGTCACTAGCTTCAGATCATTTTTCATCAAGGTGTGAAGATTTTTTGAAATATACTTTTTACATTAAAATATCATATTTACTACTTGTAAGTATAGTAAATTACTAAAGTGCTGCTCATTCCTTTCTTTGCCAACACTGATTTTGAAATTACATATTTTGTGGGACTGTCCTGCTTCAAGGTTGTGTATGGTGAGATTTTTGGACTTATGTGCAAACATGAGAAGCATAGAATTCTTTATCCTATTTTTTAAAATATCTAATTTTTAAATGTTTTTTATCATATTCTGTAGGGACTTAAAGTTCAACATGTCAATACTTGATGAAAAATACCTGTTCCTTATTATGCCTAAGATGTTTGAAATGCAGTGAGATAGTGAGGTTAAGATTGATAGCCCAAATCGTTTGATAATAACAATAAGCTTTTCTTCTGGATGGTTAACAACCTAAGTTTGCAGACCAAAATTAGAGAAAAAGGAAGGATACAAGGAAAGCCAACATTTTGGCCCTAGCCTTCTAAGGTCAATTAAGACTCAGGACATATGAGAACTTGTACTGTAACGTCATGTACCTCGGTAGTGTCCCAAATTTTCTGATCAAGAAGATAATGGGGCCAAAGAGGAAAGTGATCGATGATGTAGAGTGTGCCTAAGGAGAGTCACATGGGGAGAAGACACTCTCTCAGGCTTTCACAGAGAGCACATAAGCCAAGCATTGGCCGTGACTCATCCACATGGCTGACACTGACAAAGGTTCTACAATCTGAGGTACAGGATCTCAAGATAAATCCTGAGGGCATTTCACTGACCTTGTCAGACCAAAAAGCTACAACTCTTGTTGCACAGGTCCTGCTTTACCTTGGTCTTAACCATCCAGTAGAAAAGTATGAAGATGAAATATAGGAAGTAAAGCCATGTTGTTATGTTGAGCTGTGGGGGACTCAGGTCAATAATTTCTGACATTGCCAGTTAAACAGAAGACCCAATGATATTATGGGCTTCTTTACTCTTTTAGAATATTTTGCTGAGTTTACACACCTATAATATTCAACAACGGAACTTAAAAAAAATTGGGGTATAACTATGAATGTCCATTTTGTATCTGTGTATTCAAAGTGGTTGGGATAGATATATAGTTGCATTCTCTTAATGAATAGAATGATTTTTTCTAATGATGTTTGTAAGTAGGATCACAAGTCTGCATCTTGTACAGCAATTAACCACTAGGAAGAATGTATGCAGTGTATTATTTGTTGAAACTGTACTTTCGATTTGGTTTGAAACTGTCTTATTGCTATATGTTTATCAATAAAACTTTGAAAAGAAAAAAAAAAGAAATTACATATTTTACCGGATCCCTTGAACCCCTAAGACAGAATAAACTGATGTGACACATATACAGTCTATCCATAACTGATATATATATATTTTTTTTTCTGTGAGGCAATATCTAGACATGTATTTTTCTCATAGTATTGCTTACTTAGGTAAAGCGGAAAAAATTTTAACTTTCATGTATTATTTCTTCTTTCTAATGACTATCGTTCCTTCTTTCATTTTTGGTGGTACCGGGGATTGAACCCAGGGCTACAATTTAAGCCCTTCTTATTTTTTTATTTTGATTCAGGGCCTTGAGAAGCTGCTGAGGCTGGATTCAAACTTGCAATCCTTTGACCTCAGCCTCTTTAGTAGCTGGGATTACAAACTACATTGCCATGTCAGTTCATAATAGAAAATTCTATTTTAAATAGAAGAACATAGAGACTGAGAAGATGTGGATTTTGAACTAACTCCAAAAAGGAATTTATAGCTATTAATGTGTAACAAAAAAGTAATAAAGGCCGAAATTTAGAAAGGAAATAATTTGCCTTTTATAGGAAACTAATTATAGTTTGTGAAGTGGATTGCTGAAAAAATCTGCTGCCTAGAAGAAATGATTGGTGTTAGTGTTGCCATTTGCAACATAGAAAATACTGTCTTGTGACTTTATGTCAAGAATAAAGTTGGAAGATAGAAACTGTAAATGAAGTCTAGTCTAGTTTACCTTATCAACAAAATGTACTTTATGTTTAGCTTTAAAGGGATAACATAATAATCCACTGCTCAGCCAATTGCCTGAAATGTTATGTATGGCATGATAATACAAAATTATATGATGATGCAAATTTTGATAATGTGTTGAATATATGTAAGACAAATATTTCATAATGTGGAAAAGAGATGGGGGATTTTCATCTCTATCTCGTCATCACCTGTGGCATAAAGTCCCAAGTTCCTTAAATGACATTAAGATCTTTCTCTTTATCTGGCCTTTGCTCAAATTTCTGAATTCACTCTTTTTGATAAACTATCTGCACCTGAAACTGTGTTTACTTCTTTATAGTTGGCCTTTTTTTCTCCATGCTTTCGCTTATGTCCTGTGCCTTTTATCTACTTGGGACAACTGCTTTTACTTATTTTATTTTTGCCATTCCAGGGATCGAACTCAGGACTTTGCATTTGCCAGGCAGGCGCTTATGCCACTGAGCTATCTCCCTGGCCCTATGCTTTCTCATCTTCACATTCTAATTAGGAAGTCACCTGGTAAGTTGTCCTTTTATCCCTCCTTCTAGGGTGTTTATTTTCTCCTCTGCTAAACTACTTTAACAATTTATACTTCCATTATTTTGCTGGTTATACCGAAATACTTATTTCCCCTATGAGCATTTATATATATCATCTAGGTGTACTTGAGGCTTTGTATAAAGCTTTGCATCTCATTATAGATTAATTGTTCAGTGTAGTTGTTCCCCTCTGTCCAAGACAGATCCATTCTAACTCCCTACTGGAAGCCTGAAACCTTAGCATATGATTTTAGGGAAGATATGTTTAATAGTAAAAACTGGCTAAGCAAACATTTCTTGAAGTTTGTTCTGCTAAATACTAGTCATGTGTGTACTATGATGCATTCTTAACATAGATTTTAGCAATATTAGCATATGATTTCCTTAATGAGAACTTTTATCTTTTCACTTAAGGGCAGTACTTTACAGCTTTCCTTTGTCATATCCAAATTACTAGTTTTCCCTCTTGCACTTTGGTACCACTATTGAAATAAGTTATTTGAACACAAGTGCTATGATCTATGGCAGCTCTGATAATTGAGATGGTGTTATGGTTTGTGTATAGTTGTCCCCCCAAAGCCTCATGCAGTCTTGGGGTGGCTTCTGGAGTTTGTCATTGATTATTGTGGGTGTGGATGCTGCACCTGCCCTGGGGCAGGTAATTTGCATTTCAATGTAAGGAAGAAAGAAGCTAGCTGCTTGAGTTGCTGCTACCCCTCCCTTTGCACTCTTGCTCTTTGCCACCACCATGAAAGGTTGCTTTCTGCTATGTGCTGCTCTGCATTGGACCCAGCTGAATATGGACTGAAACCTCCCATAACTGTGAGCTAAATAAACCTTTCCTTCCTTCATTTTGGGTGTTGGGTATTTGTCCCAGCAATGAAAGAAGAGTAACTAAGACAGACAGCTACAAAGTGACTAGTGGGCGGGCATCATGGACATTACTGATATGCTAAACAAAAAATTTATGTGCCAGGCAGCATGAAGTGAGATGCCAGAAGATTCACCACATTACTCAAAACTGCATCCAGTTTAAAACCCATGAAATATTTATTTCTGTAATTTTCCATTTATACTTTCAGAGCATGGTTGACCGGAGGTAACAGAAATTGGGGAAAGCAAAACTATGGACAGTGTA